AAAAAAAAATCTTAAGAATAAAAGAATAATTTGTGCCAGTGTCACAGATCTCTTTAAGACCCACTTCATGTTCCAGAATGTCTTATGTTAGACCTTCTCTTTCCCTAGTTTCACACTTCTCAGGGATACTTACTTAGTGGGTATAGAATTAAAGACAAAGCAAAATCCCATGCGTGTGTGTGCATGCCCTGGTTTGTGTTATGTGTTCTGTGCAGGTATGCAGATGCCACAGAGTGCATGTGGAGGTTGAATGACAGCTTTGCATGTCAGTCCTTGCCTTGCCCATTTGAAGCAGAGTCTCTACCACAGACAGCACCAGGCTCGCCGCCTGCCTGCCTGCCAGCTCCTGGGAGGAATGCTGGGATTACAGACTCATGGTGCTGTTCTGGGTCCAAATTCAAGTCTTCAGTCTCACTGAGCCGTCTTCCCAGCTTGGATACAGACTCTTTCAACCCAACCTCCTATTTCAACCCTGAGGATGTCTTGAGAGTATTTATGGAACAGGCTCCATTAGGACAGTGTAATTTCTTTTATTTAAATTTTAAATTGGCCACATGTAGTGGTGCACACCTTATTCCCAGCACTTGGGAGGCAGACACAGGTGGATCTCTGAGTTTGAGGCCAGCCTGGTCTACATAGTGAGTTTCAGGATAACCAGGGTTTCAGAGAAACCCTGTCTCGAAAACAAAAGATTACTTATTTACTTTGCGTGTATATGGGGGTAATGCACATGTCATGGGATGTATGTAGCAGTCAGAGGACAGCTTGTGAGAGTCCCTTATCTCCTACTATGTGGATCACGGGATTGAACTTAGGGCGTCAGGCTTGGTGGCAGACACCTTTGCTTGTCATGCCATCCCCATCTTGATGGCCCTGATTTGTTCTTTTTTTCCCTTTTCCTGTCTTTTTTTCTTTCCTCCTTCCCTCCCTCCCTCTCTCCCTCTCTCCCTCCCTCCTTCCTTCTTTTCTTTTTTTATTTTTGTAAAGTAAATACATTATTTTTTAGATTTATTTATGTATTTTTTGTTTATGGGTGTTTTTTTCTGGGTATACACCAGAAGAGGGCATCAGATCCCATGGGACTACAGTTATAGATGGTTGTGAGCCACTATCTGGGTTCTGGGAATTTAATCCAGGACTTCTGGAGGAGTAGTCCTATGGACTCAAGAAAGGTATATTGGTTGCTTATGTTAGAGTTACATACCATGTTATTTGTTAAATTGATGCTTATTAAAAATTCCTAGACTATTTACTCTTTTATAAAAGCTTGTAACCATGGCTTCGACGCTGTGACTTACGGGTTTCGCTGCGCTGTTGTTTTTCTGATTAAAGTTTTTCTAGAATTCGAATCACACCTTTTAAAATTCAGTTACTTAATTTGTTTGTCCTGAGGTGCCTGAGTTTTAATGAGATTGCATATTGCAGGCTGTACATTTAAGGTTTTTAAAACATTTAAAAATTTTTTTAGTATGTGTGTATGGTAAGTGCGTGTGCATGTGAGATGTGTGTATGTGTGTGATGTGTTTGTGACTATGTAATGTTCGTATGAGTTTATGTGAATGTGTATGTGCATGTATGTACACGTGTATGATAATTTGTATGATGTGTGTGCATGTGACGTGTGTTTGTGACTGTAATGTATGTATGAGTATGCATGAATATATAAGTATGTGATAAAGTGTGATACGTGTGCATGTGATGTGCACTTGTGACATGTGGGGGGTAGGTAGAGTGTGTGCACATGCCTTGGTGCATATGCAGAGATCAGAGGGGATTTGATTTTCTCTTTCTACTGTGGACTCCTGAGATCAAACTTAGATTGTTGGCTTGCATGGCAAGTACTTTTATTTGCTGAGATGGTCCATTGGCTGCACACTGAAGATGTGACAGAGTTATCAACTGCTTTCCCCTTCTTTTGAAGAAATTTAAACTTCATAGAGATGTCAGACTGCATCTTAAGTTATACTTGTATTTTTACTCATTTTAGCATCTCTGGAAAGATCAACAACTAAATTTACATATGTCCAATATTAAATTTTTCTTTTATTACTTAGAACTTCTTTTATATTCCTTTTTCTTAAAGCAGTGTATTTTTCCTCTCTCTCTCTCTCTCTCTCTTTCTCTCTCTCTCTCTCTCTTTCTCTCTCTCTTCTAGAAATGAGACAAGGTCTCACTATGTCCCTGGCTGTACTGGAACTCACTGTGTACACCAGGCTGTCCTTGAACTCAGAGATCTCCCTGCCTCCCAAATGCTGGGGTTAAAAGTGTGTACCACCAAGTCTGACCCTATTTTTTTTTTTTCCCGGGTCTTGTGCATTCTAAGCAAGCATTTTGTTACTTAGCTGTGTCCTCAATCAACCGCAGTTTCTTATGGTCGTGTGTATTCATATTAACCATAGAAAAGTTTTTTTTAAAATATTTATTTATTTACTTATTATGTATACAATATTCTGTCTGTGTGTATGCCTGCAGGCCAGAAGAGGGCACCAGACCTCATTACAGATGGTTGTGAGCCACCATGTGGTTGCCAGGAATTGAACTCAGGACCTTTGGAAGAGCAGACAATGCTCTTAACCACTGAGCCATCTCTCCAGCCCCCGAAAAGTTTTAAAAATATTTTAAAAGCTGTTCTTTTAAAATCATAGTTCTCAAGTTGGTAATTCTGTCTTATTTTCTTAGGTTTGCCCAGTTTTTCCTGTGTCCCTTGTTTGATGCAAGCTGTAAAGACAGAGAGGTCAATGCCGTCGACTCAGAACATGAGAAGAACGTGATGAACGACGCCTGGAGACTCTTCCAGTTGGAAAAAGCTACTGGGAATCCCAAACACCCCTTCAGCAAATTCGGGACAGGTTTGTCAACACCATGCATCAACTTCTGTGCTCATGGGTTCCCTGCACAGTGCTGTTATAATTTCTCATTTCATTTTGAATCTCATTCAAGTAGGAGTCCACATTTTTGAGGAGTGGAGCAGTTATCCAGTGCTTTGAGAATGCTAGGCAAGCATTCCAAACTAAGCTGCACCCTATTCTTTGTTTTTGTGTTTTTGAAACACTGCAACCCAAGCTAGCCTCAAACTTGAAATCCTTCTGCTTTAGCTTCCCTACTGCTAGAATTACAAACTATTACCCAGCAAGGTTACTGTGCTTTTAAAAATGCTTTAGTTGTTATAAAATATAAAACAATGATAATATTTTAATTAGTATGTTTATAAATTTGTTTATTTTCTAAATGAATTTCTTTAGGTTTTAGATACTGTTTCCTAGACATACAATAGCATCCAGAAAAATTGACATAACTACAGAATTAGGTGTTTGTAGAAGTTAGGAAGGTAGGCATAGTGGCTTCCTAATTGTACTCTTATAGAAATCTTTCTCCTCCCTCTGTTCTTTCCTTCCTTCTTTTTGTGTCTCTTTCTTTTAGACAGGGTCTTTTGCATCTCGGGCTGGTTTTATCACACTCTGTGGAGGAGGATGGGTCATCTTGAACTTTTGATCTCCCAGTGCTGAAATTACAGGCCTGATTACCACATTATTTCTCTTTAAATCTGAATCCTGGTTGGTATCCATGTGACTTTTCCCCTTTTCTCTAGACGCACCTTTGGTGTCAGTTCTTTAGATTTTAATAAATTGGAAACCTTTGTCCTTCTAGTTTTGGTTTTGGTATTTGATTGCGGGTTCTTTTTTCCCAGACAATGGAAATCAAAGTGGGAGCAGTTGACTATTTTCACAAGCAGCCTTGGAACAGGAAAAGAGAAAATTGGTTGTGGTTATTCTCTGAAGGCGTAAGTCACAGACAATACCACCCAGTTTGGAATTATGATTAATAGAATGGTTATTTATTCAAAGGGGAAAAAACTTACAGATTACCGTCCCAGACAACAGCCCCTCCGCACGAACAGGAAAGGAGTCTAGAAGCTGGAAGCGGAGCCGGAAGCCAGAGAGAGGAGGACAGCCGCTGCTTTTTTTAAAGAGAGAGAGACCGCGCCTCAATGGGCTGGTAACTCAGCAGCGATTGACTAAAGGAGCGGAAGGAGCTCCCGCAGCAATTCTCGAGTGATCTGTTTGTCCGGTTGTAACCCCATAGACACAGAGAGCAACTGGGTGTAGTCAACTGGGAAGGAAATAAAAGAGGAAAGACAAGAGTGAGTGGCTCCACTTGACACACAGGTGGACCAGAAACAAATGGGAGGACTTCTGGGTGGGGCTGTGTTTCTGCTATGGGTGACACTTTCTTAATTGTTAGGTCATTTTATGTAACAAGTTCCAAGATTATAGACGGGGCCATGTTTACTTTATTGGCCAGCTGGCAAGTTATTTTTTTACTTCTCAGAATGGAAAGGGTATTATCAACACTAGCAGGGTCAGCAGGTGGGGAGGCCAGGCAAACTCAGGATTTCCCAGGTCATTATCCCTTTCACACCTTGCGGGTTTTTTATTGAATTTTGTGTTAACAAGTACTTACTTTACATACAGTGTTTTATTTATTTATTGTCTTATTTTTATTTGGTATTTTGAGACAGGGTCTTCTGTGTAGTCCATGCCTTGAAGTCACAATTTTCTTCCTCAGCCCCCGAGGGCTGTGACTACAGTTGTGTGTGTTGCTCATGTAGCCCACACTGGCCTCCGACTCACTGTGCAGTCCAGGCTGGGCCTTCTGAGTGCCGTGGTTACAGGCGTACACCTCTACATCTGGCCTCCTTTGCCCGTGATATGATCCGGCTGTTTGCTTTCCTGTCACGGAGTTGAGAGTTCTTTGTAAAGTTTTGTTAACTCATCACATCTGCTATCTGCAGGTTTTTCCAGTCCGTATGTTGCCTTTTCATTTCGCTGGTTTCTTTTTTCTCTTTATGTAAATGTTTACTAGAGGATGTAGTTCCGTTTATGTAGCTTGAATCTATGATGTGGTATCAGAAACGTCATTGGAACGGCCCATAGCAAGAAGTTTTTCTGTGTTGTTTTCTAGAAGTCTCTTGTTAGATCTTTCTCCATTTTGATCCTAACTCTTGTGTTCAAATAAAATGGTAGGTGTTGAATCAGATTCATTTTTGAAAGGGTTTATAGATATATTTATTGGTGGTATCACTGGATTATTAGTACAGAGACTAGAATACAAAGAAATTAATACTTTAAAGAGATCATTAACTTTTTAAAAAAATTTCTCAATTTTTTTCATTTTTGTATTTTGACACAGAGTTTCTCTACATAGTCCTGGCTGTCCTAGAACTCTCTCTGTAGACCAGGCTGGCTTTGAACTCACAGAGAGCCGCTTCTCTCTGCCTCCCACGTGCTGGGATTTAAGGTGTGCGCCACCATGCCCTGTGGAATAATTGATATTAAGTATAACATTTGTATAGATGGATCATTTTGATCATTATTTATGTGTATATCTGTGTATGCCGTGTGCGTGAGTGGTTGTGGAAGCCAGAAGAGGGTGTCAGGTCCTCTAGAACTGGAATTATAGGCAGTTGTGAGCCACCTGATATGGGTGTTAGAAACTGAACTTGGGTTCTGTGTAAGAGCTGCATATATTCTTAATTACTGAGATATTTCTTCAGCCCCTAAATCTGATTAGATTTGCCAAGAAATGTAGAACTAGTTCCAAAACTTTTATTCTGATGATAGTTTGAACTGGAGTTCTGGTGTATCCCATTCTCAAACCAATTGTTAGGCTAGCAAGATGGTTTAGCCTGTCAAGGCACTTTTTGACAAGCCTGACCTGAGCTTGATCCCTGGGACCATATGGTAGAAGAAGAGAGGTAGTTTTACAAAAGAGAAAGAGAGAGAGAGAGATAACTTCTGCAAATTGTTCTCTGACTACATGCACACACACTATATATATACTCAATAAAATGCATAAATAAAACCAGCTGTTATTTTGCTGTACTTGAGCCAAGTATAATCAATTTTGTTTTTAATTAACTATGCAGATAGGTGGGATTTTTATAGCAGTTCTTTGGTATAGGATAAAGCCAGTGAGAGGAAAAGAGCTTAATTCCAGATATACAAAGTGGAGACTATCAGTCCCAGGCATGGGATTCCACTCAGACGCCTCATCATGGCCATGGCGGCTCTCCTCTGTGGTTTGTAATTCTAGCAACAATCCAGTTAGCAGTAGCTGATTTGTGCTACAAATCCAAACCACTAGGGTTTTCGGGTTTCAGTGAATGAACAGTTTAATCCTCGTGCCCTTTTGTAATAATCCAAGAACGTGGTTTATCCATTGCAGCATCACTAGCAAAGGAGGCCTTTAGTCGCACTGATCAGATTTCTGCTTACATAATGCAGCCATCTATAAAGGTTTTGACAGCGGTACTATTGTGCAGAGCTGTGAGTTCCTGGTCCTCTGTTAGGGTGAGGTTCCATGACAAGGCCTTCCTAGCCTTTGCCCTAACTGCCGTTCTAGCCATTACTCCTGTACTTTACTTTTGAACATGATCTCACTCTGTCGCCTTGGCTGGCCTGGAACGGGCTCCATAGACCAGACTGGCCTGATGAAATTAGAAGAGATCCTCTTGCCTCTGCTCCTGAGTGCTGGGATTAAAGGTGTGTGCTGCCACCCCAACCTCATTATCCTGTTGGCTTGACTAAGGTTGAGTGTAGATTCTCTTTAGACTCCACGTCAGAGGTGACACTAGAATGCAGTATACTTGACTGCAGTATGAACTTGAAATGAACACAATGTTCTTCTGAAAGGGTCAAAGCAAGTAAACATGCAAAGAGGAAATTTACAGCCCTCACCGCCCCACACTGAGGAACATTCTGAGGAGCCAGGAGCAGACATTTGTCTCATTTCTCCAGTGTTCCTCTAATGTACCAGTGCAGGCTGTGTTTTATTCACATAGTAGGTCATGCCTTGAGGCAGCAAGACAATGGCAGACAGAGCAAGACTCCCTTGGAGCCCAGTCCTCTGACAATCCTTGCCTTATGGTCCCCAAACTGCAAAGGACTTCTTTACGTGCTGTAGATATGGATGGAGGAGAGAAGGCCTTCACCCTGACCAGGCTGCGGGGTGTCCAGTGAGAGAGTTCCTGAGAAGTCCTTGTACCTCTGTCCATCCGGATATCCCAGCAGCTAAGAGACATTTTTATTCACCCTTCTGCATTTTGCCAGAACTAAAGGGGCAGCACCTTCATGACTGCAAATACCAGTTTTGAGTCCACTGGTATTCACAGAGGTGAGAAACTGTGTCTTTCATAATCTGTGGCCAGCAGATCTATCAGTACCAGATTTATGCCCTAGCTGGCAGATGCCCACATTCCCTCGGGCTGCTGTGAGCTGAAGGTCTGTCCTGTCCCTGCTGTCACAGATATTTGGGTCAAAGCCACTTTGCAAACAGCTTAGAATAACATTCCTATCAATGCAGGCTTGTAGCAAGGAAACAGTATTCTGAGAATCATTTATAAAAACATATGGACGTGTGTGATGGTGTACCCTGTAATTGCTGCATTTGGGAAGTAGAGGCCAGAGGATCAGGAGTTCAAGGTCATCGTCAGCTACATAGTGAGTCTAAGGCCAGCCTGGACCACACAATACTCTATCACAAACAAACAAAGGTACAGTACTGTTCTGAGGTGATGGATGGAATAGGTGTGATCCGTAAGATTAGATCTTTCCTTCAGTGGCCACTCAGTGCTTTATCTGAATTCTTTACAAAGTTCAACGTAAATATTCAGTGATGTGCTGCAGTGACCTGCAGCCTAAAGCATACTAAAACAGCATCAGATCCTGCCAACTGGGCCAATCCGAAGCAAGCAGAGCTCGCTCTGGGCTATGTTGATTTCTTGTCCTTGACTATTTGACATGACAGCTTTGTCGTAGATAATGATGTTCTTCCATTGGGCATTATGGTGTTTGCCTCTCTGAAATAGTATTGATTCTTAATGCCTTCTCTCCCTAATTCTGATTTTCTTAATTCTACTATTCTTTCTCTCTTCATTAGCTTATAGATACAGTGAATAGAAAAATTCTCTTTTCTCCTGTTTGGGACAGTGGTGCAATTATTGCTCAAAAAGCAGGATAAGTGTTTCATTCTTTCTATTCAGTTACCAATATTCAAAATGTGTTGGTTCCCTGCCATCCTCCAGAGATAACTAATTTATTTTTTGAGTATCACAATCCTTGTGAATACATGGTATATTTTAATTGACTTAATTATTACTATTCTCTAAGCTTTTCCATGGGTTTTGTGTTCCTGTTCCCCTTTTCACCTTCCTTTTATTTTCCCAAAGTAGTGAAACATTTTCTTCAGAAACATAGTAAAATTACAGGTTAGCTATACTAGGAGGGAGCAGTGGGGCCATCACTCCTAAGCTGCTACTGG